TAATAAATAGATAATAATAATAACTTTTTACTGTATAAATGAGATTGTAGGTTTACACAATTTTACGTTTATTATGATGAGTTTGTGTTACAATGAGAAGTCTACAATAATATCGTGGTTGAGTGCTGTTTTCCCAGCTAGGCTACATAATAGCCTGTGTTAGGGATAATACAGTCCTGAACCCTTAGAAATGGTGGAAACCGGTGTAGCACGTGTTTTAATTTGAGTTGAGAAATTGTGCAATTTATTGTGGTTTTGTGTGTGTGTGTGTGTGTGTGTGTGTGTCGTTTAATGTCTAGTTTATATATTAAGCTATTGCATAGCTTCTATCGAGGGCCTTGAGCGCGGGGACCGAATCCAGAAATTCCGTAACGAAAAAAAACCTCACGCTAAAAACAAAACAAAAAACAGTACCAAAATCAAATGCTGAACGTCAAAGGAAATTTCGTCAACATAATGCAGAAAAATCTTACATGGATATGTAATTTGATTTAATAATAATATTTTTTATTTATTTATTTAAAAACAAATTGTAATATATGCTTCAATATTTTTATTTAATAAAAGAAAAAAAATAGATTTCTTATCGGTCACCATGCTCAAAAAGTGTAACTTGAATTAATATCAAAGAAAAAGAAATACTGCATAAATAAAATAAATAAAATAAATAAATAATTATAATTGCATAAGTTGATATAAAATGCTATGCAATAGCTTTACCGCGGCAGTCCCCGAGTGCCACACGTCTTTTGTTGTGTATGGTGATGTGAGTAGTGTATGTGTGTCTGTATGAGTAATGCTTGACTGTTTCTGTGTGAGTAATAAATAATAAATTAGACTCAAAGTATGATCGTGTACTTCATACAATTATTTGTCCTCGGTGAGAAATGACCTCCCACCTCTGGCTTAGCAGATAGGAGCACTCTTCATTTTCATGTTTTTTTTAAGACATCTCTCGCATTAGGAATATATCATGTGTCATGGAGGCTTTACTATACATGAAACGGGCACCAATAGCACCCAGGCTTAAAGCAGCGATTTGTGGATTATACAATGTTGTCTCATGTGGGGATCGAACCCACAACACTCAGCTTAGTAGGGAGTGGCATGGTGACCGTTTAAACGACTACGCCATCCGTGCAGTCGACTAACAAATAACTAAAAACTACACCAACCGTCGAATCTTTTATATATAAAATATCTTCTAATTTAATTGACATTATTTAAAAACCCTTTAATTGCATGGGAAATATGAACGCGTTCTTTCATTAGCATTACTCAGAAGTATTGCACGCATATTGTTATGTCTCAAGGATTTTTCCCAAAACATTACCAGTATATGAGGTGAACAATAGCCAACCTTCACGGGTGCGATTCTTGGCACACAAAGGGGATAAGCAGGTATCAAAATAGCTGTCGCAACTTGATGAATGTATGACATTCTTTGCGTACGCTTGGATTGTGTAGTTTTGTCATAGTTTGACTCAAATTTGAATACAACTGATACGATAAATGATAATATTAAACTAGCTGCTCACCGTGGCGTTATTCACGGTTTTTCTGGATAAAAAGCTTGTGTTAATCCAGGGTGTCAGCTACCTCCATTTAGTTTTTTATCGTAATTGGTCACACAGTCCGTGTGGTGACGGATTAAGAATACGGAATGTCAACACCCCTATTAATCCCGTGGATGTCGTAAGAGCCGACTAAGGGAGCAAACTGCGCAGGACACCAGCACTGCAAGGAGAAGGAAAACTTGAAACAACCCCTATATCAACCCGTCTGGCCAGCGTGGTATTGTAGGCCAAAACCTCCTTTCTCAGGAGAGGCCTACGTCCAGCAGTGGACTGTTATAGGCTGTTGATGTTGATGACATACTCATAAACTTTCGCTTTTACAATATTAGTGTTATCGAATTCCTCTAACCGCAAACTGCAATGGTGTCGACGGCGACGCTTACAAAGCGTCGTCACCGATGGTGGTTCCATCGATCCGATGGGGTTTTGTGTCATCTTAATTACCTATCATTTTTTATCAGTAATCTTGCAGAGGTTACGGTTAATTTTTACCTTTAGGTACAATTATACCTGAAGATAATATAACACCCGTATTTTATCTTCAAATTTCAATGAAACCAAAAGAAAAGGATACCCTGTCAAATAAAAATGTCTACCAAATTTGTTCAGAAATTACAGAGTTCTGAGATAACAAATGCAACCGCATTGAAAAACTCCTTGTTTTTCAAGTCTTGGTAAAACGTCGTGGAGAAAGTTTTTATTTTTAAAATAGCCTATGTTAATCGAATTTCTACTTATCTAGACGCTAATAATTTATTATCTGTTACATCTTGCTGTAAGCTAATAGAACACGAGAACGCCAACTACTTTCCTTTTGCCGTTTCTTCTCTTTACAGACAGCTCAGGGAATCAGAGATAAATATAGCGACACAGAGAATCACTCCGAAGCAGACCGTTTTGAGACCTTAGTTGCCCTGTCGTTCAGGGTACATTGAAAAAAAGGGTTTTATAACCAACCAGAACTCTCTGTTAAAGGTAAGGTACCGTACATGTAAAGTTCGTGTCGGTCTAGTTTTTAGTGACCCTGATTGCTAATCTGGAGTTCGTGGGTTTGATTCTCACCCACTAGAAATAATTATGTGATGAACACGACCGTTATTTCTGTGTCTGGATGCAATTTATCTATAATATGTAAAGAAATATTTAAGTATGGTTAGAAGCAGTCAATACACCTAGACTACCCACTGTTTCTTCTTATCTACTGTCGATTTGTCCATCCAAAGGTTGCCTGTAAGAGATTGCTATTAGCAATAAGGCCGCCCATTGTACATATAAATCTGTAATATTTAACCAACTTACTGTAATTGGTATACAATAAAGCATATTCTATTCTATTCTGTTATCACATCATCACATCAACAGCCTTTAATAGTCCACTACTGGACATAGGCCTCTCCTTATAAAGGAGGTTTTGGCCTACTATACCACGCTGTCCAGACGGATTGGTATAGGGTTTGTGTCAAGTTTTCCTTCTCTTTGCCGTGCTGGTTGTCCTACGTTAGTTCCCTTAGTCGCCTCTTACGACACCCACGGGATGAATAGGGGTGATGGCACTCCGTATTCTTAATCCGTCACCACACGGACGCTATTCTATACTATTCTATTATAATAATAATAATATATTTATTTCGTAAGGTAATTGTAGTACATAGATACAGAAATTAATGAAGATAGTGCATACAATCAGTGGTTAAAGCGCTGTCCTCCTAGCTAGGTTATGGAATAACCTGTATTAAGGAGTAACAGTCCCAAACCCCTTTCGGTGAAAGGTATTACAATATACCAATATACTGCATTAAAGTATTATGACATTTTTAAGGTTATACATAATTTAACAGAAACAGCGTGCTTGTGTAGGTGTGTGTGTATGTGCGTGTGTGCGTGCGTGCGTGTGTGTGTGTGTACTTCTATACTATTCTGTTAACAGCAGTCTTATTACCGTGGTACAGGCTCTGCAAATTTTGGGATCTGATTGTAGTGTGAGAGAGGTGTCAATTGTTATTATTTGTTATAATACAGAAAATCTAAATCTACACTTTAATGTAGATAACGACATCATTATCTACATTAAAGATTTCTCGTACAGAGTACAATCAAGCTGACTGTTCCGGCGACATGTGGTTCACATTGCGTAGTATGTTAAAAGGATGTTACGTGTTTACTCATTGTGTTGCACGTATTATAATAATGTTTCTGCGACGATTCTTGAGAGTCGCCGGTAGTGATGTACATACTTAACCACCATGGCTATCAGAGATGGCCTTGCTTTACAACTCTAGCTTCTATTGCTGATTTTTCAATCGATTCTTCTGGATTTAGGAAGCAAGATTATAGTCTATCTATGTTGCAAATTTTTTCAGGATCCATTCATCCGTTCTAATAGTTCTAGTTTTTTTTTTATGTTAGAGGGGGCAGACGAGCAGACGGGTCACCTTATGGAAAGTGACGATCGCCGCCCATGACCGTCTGTAACTCAAGAGTCACACCCATTACAGTTTTTGTATTTATAATAGTACTCAGTTTCGAACCAAAGGGAGAGAGTTTATATTATACCTTCTTGTAATCTTTTCTAATGTCTAAGCTGAAAAATTAAGGTGATTGTTTGTTTCCCTATCTCTGAAACTGTTGGTCAAATTTTAATAATTGTTTTTGTATTAGATAGAGCACTCAACTGGCCTGTTGGTCTTATGGTTAGCTACCCTTAACGCTAAGCCAGAGGTCGTGGGTTTGATTCCCATCCAGGACAACAAATTGTGTGATGAGCACGATTTTTTGACCTGTGTCTGGATGTAGGGAATAGCTATAAGGAGTTTGTTTTATATTATTTATTTTAATACGATAATCTTTTGTATTTTTTGTGTAATATAGGTGTGTATTATATGTATTAACCGACTTTAAAAAGTAGGCGATTTTGAAATTTGTTTCTTTTTATGTTTGTGGTGTGGTTCTATATTTTTTTATGTTTGTTATTTCAGTACTCCGTGAGTTAGGAATCGAATTGGATTTTTTTTAAGGTGTGAGGTTCTACTTCCCGTCTGTTGTTATTTATGTTTGAAGACCCTCCTGAAAATACTCCTAATGGTGTAAAATTAAGGAATGAATATTACTGACAGTTAATTATTGAAATACAAAATGCAAAAATTGACTATTTAAATAGATCTGTTTTAGCAAATAGATCAGGTAACCTTTCTAAACGTAATAAAATTAAAAAAGATTTATAGTCTGCGCAAGGCGTTCGGAAACAAAGAAAAATATTTATGTAATTATGTTTTGGTTACGTTGTATTCTTTCATAATGGACACCGTGAAATCAAACTACAGCAATTAAATTTATATCGTTTCATTACTACAAAAGGCACATAAAAAAAACTATTTACATTTCATAAGTACTTAACACAAATTAACTTAAAAAAGAATAAATACCTCAATGATGTTTCTCATCCATGGGGTGCTGTGAGCCCTCTACGCCAAGGATCTGGACATTCCTCACCTGCTTCCTCGGAGGAGCAGCGGTTGTCAACTCAGTGGGCGGTGCCGTCGTGGGAGCGAAGTCAGGACTGATCGCCAGTATCAGCATCTTCAACAACAAAGCCTCTCTTATATCTGGAGGAAGGAATTCTGGCATCTCTTCGATATGATTCGAAGAAGATCCAGCCGTGTCATATGGTCGGGTATATAACCTCCTTCTCGGAACATATCTCTGACTTTCATACTGATTGTCGTAACCCTGGTTTTGATAATCCTGTCTGTACTGATCGTATCGATAGTCGTATCTGTCATCTTCTTGATACCTCTGCTGGTAGCGATAGTCATTTTCTGGCCGGTACAGAGGTTGTGTCGGCATCATTTGGTCCATCAAATTTTGCAATCGGTTTTGTCTAAGGATCAAAATATGGAGTAAGCGTCGTAAGTCTCTTGTACTCACAGGAGCAGCAATTGAAGACATCTCATCTACTGGATTGTTGTACCTTGGATGGAACAACGGAGCCTGAGGTTGTGGTCTGTACGGGTTCACGAATCTTCCCTGGTATCCTTGGAGAGGGATTCCTCTTTCATCTACAGGTATTGGTATGACCCTTGAAACTGGTCTTACTTCATACGGTTCATTATTTGCTTCTGCAGCTTTGGGTATTTGCTGCAATGGTTCCTTTACATATTGCGGCTCCAACACCTTGTTTTGATAGTCATATTGATGGTAGGGCCGTTGGTTTCCTATAGGAACGGCAGCACCAGGATTATCCTTTAAGTATTCATGAGTCCTGAAGTGAATTGCTGCTGGTGGCCTCCTGTATATGGGCTGCTGATAAACCCGCTCATCAGGCTCCCTCTGTGGCTGGATGTGAACAATTGGCACTGGGTTAGTAGTCACCACGCTGTCTTGGTCGAACACACGACCAGTACTAGCTTCGATAGTAGTTTCCTGCTCTTGGAAAGGCACATCCTGATATTGTTGCTGGATTTTTTGCCTGGCTGCCACTAAAGAATGAATGGGCACTAATCTTGGTCGAGGTGTTGTCGTAGTAAATAAGGGGCGAACAGTTCCCATAGATAGATGGCTTCCATAAACGTCCGTGGAATCATCGCCCGCTGATTGCTGTAGACTAACCATGCGAGGGTTAGGACTGGTACCAGGTAGCTCTCGACGTATTGTGTTGGCTCTATTCGCATCACTATCTTGATCATTCTCAGAGACGTGTTCGTAGACTGGTTTCACTGTCACAGGTATTTTGGTCGTGGTTTGTCTAGCAATCAAATCGTCTTTGACCATAGCCGAGATCGGTTTTAACATTTGAGTACGCGTTTTAACATCATCCACTTTGGTTTTATATAAATTCAAAATATTACTTGTCGTTTCTTCAGGTTTTTGGGTTACAGTAGTAGATTCCAGATGCGGCGCTCTCGAACTGGAGTGAACTCTTCTTCTTGGTATTGCTTGAATGACTGTTCCTCTTGTTGTATACGAACCTCGAGTTGGGTACACGACTGTAGGTGACGGTCGTCTGGTAGTTGAAGACACTGTTTTATTCACTCTAACAATCATGGTTGCAGGACTTGTCGTAGTGCTAGTTTTCACTGGAACTGGTGTGCTATCACTCGAAGAGGAATACGTCACTCGTTTCACTTCACCATCCTGGTCAATGTACCCGAAAGTGCCCTTGACATGGCCGAGGGCGTCTCTATTTTCAATCTTGAACGTTCCATCATCAGCTTCATACCCTATTGTGTATGATCCGTCTTCATTCAGCCGTCTAATTTGTTTAACTATTTCAACTTTTTTCGGGTCAGCAGTTTCGCTGGCTTTAAGAATCTCTTTGGTGGCATTGTTCGGTGATTCTGTAGTGGTGTCTTTGGTAAGGTTTGTAGCGGAGGCTGTGGTGATACAGGCGATGATGATGAGGGCGATCATCTCGCTGAAGTTGCTGTCGGCATGTCGGCGGTACGGCTGCGCCGGCGCCGCGACTCCCCTATATAAAATACTGCCCCACTCGCACCGCCACCGTGCGAATCTTACGCAAGCTGGACCATTGTTGTCATTTCATTATCTGAGACGGAAAATCTTTTTCTACTCAACTAGACTTGTGCTCTAAGTGCTCAATTGTTTAATTGTCAGAATAGTTTTGTAAAACAACGTGGCTGTGGACAAATTTAGTTTATAGGGCGTTATAGATTCATGGATGTTATTTTAATTGTTTTATTGTTTATGGATGTTGTGTTCTTGTGTTTAGGATTTGGATTTAAAACTTTTTCTGGACGCAAGGTCCCTTTTAGGCAAGTTTACAAAAGAAAATTTTGGAACGTCACTTTGAATTTGGAGTATTTTTACTGTTTTAAGCGTTCCGTTCATAATTTGTATAACTAGATGACCGAAGAAAACGAAATTTTTTTTACTTAAATTAATCAATTCCAATCATAACTTTTTGAGATTAGCGCGTAACTCATCAGCTCTATAATATTAGTATAGATATAAAAACTGTGATATATTTACATTATATCTCAGTTTCACCATTGCTTTGCCAGTATTGTTTGAGCTTTTTTCATTTCTATAGCTACTGCATTCCACAACCTTGTAGCAACAACAACGCAATCTCTAGATAATTTAATATAGAACGCTGGAATGTATAATTAAACATTTAGTACACACATACACCTTGTAAACACTTACTGGTCAGTAATAATTACATACATTTCATATCGTACAAGACAGGTTGAAACTACTTGAAACCATTCTTTTACTTGAAATAAATTCCCACACTGATTTACTAAGTGCTTTATTAAATAACATTTAAAAATAATAGGTTATTGTCTGATAATATATTTGGATTTAAAAAATAATTATTTATATATTCTGCAATGTTACAATGAAACATCTTACAGGATATATCTATAGATCATCAGAAAACCAGGGCCAGAATTTACAATTACAGACTACAGTCCACAAATTACAATGGCGGGCATGTACGGGACATTTGTACTGTCTTGCGTATCTCATGGTTGGGATTATTTCTGTACTTATTTCGCTGGTAATATCATCAACAATTACAGTTTTAATTATCAGATTTTTAGAACTTTGCGTTCAAAAGTTATTTCAGTTTGTAGTTTGCATATTGGCTGTAGGTTTCATTCAGCTGTCATTGGTATCGACCAATGACAGCTGAATGTCAGAAATGTCATTGTCAATTGTCATTGCTGTCAACAAGTTCACCTAAGTATAGGTACCATGTTTATTCAAAATAATACGTTTACTATTTTCTTGATCTGTCAATAAAATGTTGCCCTATCAAATTACTTTTTTTTTACATTATGTGTACAATCGATTTGAATAGAAATAATTAGCACCCTTGCTTTAATTGATTTAAAATAATCATTCCTTTATAACAAGCTAAGCTAAGCTGCAAAATTGTCAAAAGTGTTGTGTTATTGCCAAAATAAACGTTTCTTTCTTCCTTATTACTTCGTCTAATTTCGAAGTAAAAATATCGTGGTTAGGTTATTTATATTTTATGCATGGCAAGTTTAGAATAGGTAGAATTTTTTGTGAAGAATTTATATTATACTTAATTTCTAATAATATAATATTAAATGAATATGATGATTCAGTTTATAAATGGCACAAATCTCATAATCATCCGTCATATATAACTAGGTGTACACTTTAACAGGATCTGCCGTTCTTCTTTCGTACATTTTTTTTATAGGTAATGGTTTGGCACAAATGGGCCGGCTGGACCTAATAATACTACGACCTCACAAAAAAATGATATAAAGCAATTATTTCGTCGCAAAATCCATCGCTGCCCCTATGTCCTGGGCTTAAAATGGGGCAACGCATTTGTGACTCTCTGGTAGCCACTTAACCCAAGGTAACTCGCTGCTCGTTGGACCCCTACGCAGCCCACCGTTTCTAAGGTCCAGCAGTGGACTAGTAAAGACTGTTGATGATGATGATGACTGATTATTTACTGTCTAGCTGATACTTAATTAAATATTTAATTTAATTGTAACCGAGATGTGTCTCATATACTACGCATAAACTCTTGATGGTTTCTGTGGTCTATAATGGATAACTTTATGCATGTATGAATTTTATATTAGACAATTAAAAAAAAACACGGCACATGATTGATAAAAGAGGAGAGGACGACCAAAGGAAGTAAGGATGGACTGCGTTAAAGGGGTTAGCAATCCTGACTGCTAAACCAGAGGTCGTAGGTTCCATCCCCACCGAGAACAAATATTGTGTGATGAGAACGATCATTTGTTACGTCTTGGTGTAACTTTGCTATGATATATATGTATGTAATGATAGATAAGTATGCTTCTTAAATACGTTGCGGGTTGTACGGCAGTAGACTTGTCGTCGCTATCGACGGTACAAACCAAAACACAATCCAACACAGAATTATTCGAGGATGATTTATTTACATACACACAGGTATTACTTCCGTGTGGTGACGGATTAAGAATACGGAATGTCACCACCCCTGTTCATCCCGTGGGTGTCGTAAAAGACGACTAAGGGAGCAAACTGCGCAGGACAACAGCACTGCAAAGAGAAGGAAAACTTGAAACAAACCCTATACCAACCCGTCTGGCCAGCGTGGTGTAGTAGGCCATAACCTCCTTTCTAAGAAGACGTCTATGTCCAGCAGTGGACTGTTAAAAGCTGTTGATGATGATGATGAGGTATTATTTCAGGTGTATTACCTAATGCAGTAGTGTAGTTACTTTGAATAGCTACTAACGAACGTAAATTAAAAAAAATGTATTCAAATATATAGCTACATAACATAATTATACTATATCACTGTAGGCACAGTGCGCCCTTGTGAATTTGTTTATAGTACTAATATGTCTGTTAAATTAAGTGTCCCCAAAGAACTGAAGATATTATTACACTGCGATTAAATCCGTATAAGTACAGATTATCATATTTCGATTTAAAACCCCTTCACAACGAGTATTTGCAACTATCTTGTGGGAACTTGTCACAAGTCATGTAAAGTACAGTGTCGTTATTATTGTGTACGTATTATTATGTACTTTTAATAAGTCACTGATGAGAATTTAATAGGTTTATATTCTTGACTCTAGTTAAGGTCAGTTTCGTTTGAACTACTTTCTAAGTCACTAATCTATATTTATTTATATAAAAAAAATTATTTCCTTAACATAATTTAGGTTAATTGAATTCTATAAGCAGGCTTTCTAGTGGAATCCTCGGAGAGAGCGCAAGCATGATCGCCCAAGGTAGACTTGGTGACAAACAGGGGCGGATGAGTTGTGAAGTATCGCCAAGATGTTGAGCGAAGTTAAAGCACGAGTTTTATGACCGATCGAAATGTAGACTTGCTGTGGTCGCTCTCTGCCTCATCTCAGGAACATAGGACATTGAAGATCAAAATTTAGTTTAAGTCAAGGATTTCCAGAAGTAAGATTTTTATAATAAAGTAGCAACTTTATAATCACAAATGCGTTGCGGGCCTCTGAGGAGTATGATGTTTTCTTACAGGTTTGAAGGTCGAAGACACCGCACTCACATGTGACAAATTTGTTCCACAGATTAGAAGGATTTTTCTTTTTAGTTCTTAAAGACATAACGATATGACTTAGAAAATATTAAGTTAATTTTAATTATTCTTTCTTCTTGTCGGCTTCAGAAAAAAGATTCTTACTTCGATTTGAGTATTTGGTATGGTATTCTTTGTTTAACTGAAATTGTTGTATTCAAGTTACATTAAAATAATTCGCCTCTAAGCGTGAAATATTAAGGTAAACTCAAAGAATACACCTTATTACAGTTTATCATGATATTTAAGTAGGTATCTATTTTTAAGTTAGTTCACACAAAGAGAATAGTCCAAAAAAAAAAACTAATCATTAACGCAAGAATATATTTAATTTTATTTATATATATTTATGTCATTCGTACCCAAGCCACTTAAATTTTTTATAGTATATTTTTTTATAATTTGTTATTTTAATTTATATTTATCATTTTAGTTAGCATAGGATTCAGGATTTACTAATTTTTTAAGTGCGTTAGATGCAGATAAAATGTGTTATTATATAGGAGGTGGCTATTCGGCGTTAGTAACTAGATAAACATATTATACAAACAGTCAAAGATAAAATAGTTTAGTAACTATGTTTTCCGTTAAGCGGTCACCTTCTGAAGTCTTACTTCTGCCACCTGAGTCTTCTGAGCCACCAGCGCGGCATTAATGATTGATGGGGGGTCAGAATATCGGGCTCTATAAAAATCTACAAAGCCATAACTATGGTTTTCGGAGAATCATCAGGGGAGACGACGGTCCTCAGTCGGGATGGCCATTGATTGGATTAACGCCATCTCGTATCACTAAAGCGAACTCAAATCTTAGTTCGCTTTAAAAAAAGGAGATGGCTTGATGGTTCAATTTTAAAGACAGAATTCGATAATCTACATTCAAATCTGATATAAAATGGTACCGTTAGATGGCGCTACTATAATCTGAAAAAATAATGAGGATGCTGTTGGCGGGGAGCGCAACCCGCCGACTTACGCCTCTGCGAACATGACGGACGAAATACACCGCCACAGCAACCCCAGAAGCATACTAAATGCATTATTATACTGGACATGCAGGTCGTTGTAACTTAGTAAACAGGTGAACATCATTTTAGACTGGCAGAAAGCTTTAAACAGCGTAATTTTAACTGTGTTAGTACATCAAGAAAACCTGCGAGCCAGCATATTGCAGCCGATAGCCTACGAACTGAGTTCCCTATCGATATCCACAATGTATTTCAAGTCATTGGAGACCCAGTAATATCCATTATATTTGAATGTTTAGAAAATTGTGGCCGTTATGAATTAATTTTATTACTATATGGCATATATTTTTATTGCTGCTATTGTTATTTTTATTTTTGACATGTTGGATCCAGTTTTTACTGGCCCTGATTGCAAGAGATCGTAGATTCGACTACCACCCGGGAGTTTTATTGAGTTTCAATATTAAGTATTACGTATTTAATATTGAGATTAATTACTTATTACTTTCCTGTCACCTTTTATAAATTTTTAAGTACTTTCTGGAATATAATTACACTATTTATCAGACTTGATGTGTGTTTTTTGTAGGATAATGAAATCATTTTACCCTTTTTTTACACGCTTTATTACTCGCTTTATATTAGCTTCAATTGTATGTTTGTTTGTATGTTTATAACCGACTCCTTTGGGCGTGATTTTGACTGACTTTAAACGGTCAGAATTCGTTCAAACTTTGTTGATATATCGAGGACCGATGACAATACACTAATTTAAAATTATTATATGGGACAAACGAACAGACGAGTCACGTGATGGTGACTGAACACCGCCTCTCATGGACTCCTGCAGCTCTAGACATGAGCGTTTTTTTAAAGCTAAGAACTTCACATCAGAGGGCCTGGTCTAAGTTTATTTCACTACTACTCGATCGTCACGGTACCGCGTTTGGCGCTGTGATTAGCCAGCGCTGAAATTGTCACCAATCGCAAAGCAGAACGCGCTCGCTGTCGAGGGCGAGGAGAAGTGAAATAAACCTACACTTAACTGTCACTTTTTAACTTACCCCGAAGACATTTCGTTTCACATATTGATTGTGAGGCCAAACAGCGTGAGGGGTCATTGGACTTCCGGTCGGAACGAAGTGGTAGACGTTTCAACATCAACATCAACAGCCTATACTAGTCCACTGCTGGACATAGGCCTCAATTCATCCCGTGGGTGTCGTAAGAGCCGACTAAGGGAGCAACTGAGCAAACATTTCCTTGTAATAGATTTCTCTACCACGGAAATCGATGATTATTCCTCAAACGCATATAAACTTGTCAATTACGTACAAGTCAATTATGAACCAGCTAGAGTTGATGTTGACAAGTGATCTTGTTATGTAAGGTCGATACTTACTCGTATATTTGTTACAAGGAATTCGTTTAAAAAGTTTTGCGCTATTTATGGGTACTAAGTTGTTCGAAATATATGTAATATATTAAATCAACTGCACGGATGGCGTAGTGGTTTAAGCGGTCGCCACGCCGCTTCCTACTACGCCGAGTGTTGTGAGTTCAAACGCCACATGGGACGACACTTTGTGTGATCCACAAATTGTTGTTCTGATTCATGGTGTTCTTTGTGTCCGTTTCATGTATGTTTGTAAAGGCCCCCGCGACACAGGATTTATTCCTAATGCGGGAGTTGTCTTTTTTAAAATAGAAAAATAGAAATAGAACTGTGCCTGTGCCGTCTTCCACATACAACGAAACAGAAACATACTACAGCGCCATCTAACGAGTGCACACTGAACTACGGACTAACTGCTAATCCTGGAAAGTTTTTAATCCGTTCAGTAAACATACAACTTCCCACTATCAATTGCTGTCGTAAAACGACTAAGGGAGCGAACTCTGCAGGACAGCATCACAGCAAAGAGAAGGAAAACTTGAAGCAAACCATATACCAAACCCATATGTCAAGCGTGGTATCAACAGTCTTTACTAGCCCACTGCTGGACATAGGCCTCTCCTTGGAAAGGAGGTTTTGGCCTACTATACCACGCTGGCCAGACGGGTTGGTATAGGGTTTGTTTCAAGTTTTCCTTCTCTCTGCAGTGCTGTTGACCTGCGTAGTTTGTTCCCTTAGTCGCCTCTTACGACACCCACGGGATGAATAGGGGTGGTGACACTCCGTATTCTTGATCCATCACCACACGGAATAAGCGTGGTATAGTAGGCCAAAAACTATGACCAGCAGTGGACTATTAAACGCTATTGATAATGGAACTATATTATAATTGTGATGATTCACATATACACGTCCCGCCTAGGTATGTATATTTCCGAAGGGGTAGGCAGAGTTTTATAAACGCCCATACTTTGTCAAATATAATTAGAGTCCCATTTAGGTATGTAATAGGCCCACACTGGGTACCGGTCACTTAACCGATCAGATAGGAAAATTATGAGTATATTAAAGGAAAGGTAGATAAAGGGAAGGTAGGAAAAGGATACTGGTTATACTAATTGACTGGGGAATTTAAGAAACAGCTCGAACAGTTCATGACGTCATCGGTCGTAGAATAGAGTCGGATCTGACATTTATTGAACTTTACAGGTCAGCCATTTCAAATAATTGTTATTTTTTGGAAAAAAACTTTTTTAATTATAAATCTGTAATCATGAGAATTGGCATACAAGTGAAAAATAGGGTTTGTTTTAAAATGCAATAAAAATAACGACTAATAATTGTACAATTTTCTAAAAAAATTACATGCTTCATTTTACTTTAAACAAACACTGGATAATCTAAAATACATATAATTTTTTCTTGAATGTAGTAATAATATTTAGACAACGTAGTATCCAAAAATGGTAAATACTTAATTTCGTATTTTTTTTAAACCGACATTATTTTACGATAATGGCGATCTGTTCGCATACCTGTGACTTGAATCGTCTGTAGTCGTGAAGTCATCAAGAAATGCATTTATAAAAACAATACGAGTATTATCAAAATATAATTTATTATTAAACCAAAATATTACAAATTAATTATTTGTAAGTTTTTACAAGACGCGGGACTGTTCCGCACGAAACTCGTTCGTTACGATTCAATATTTTATACTTATCGCACTATTTACTAAAATTACATTAAGGTACTGATTAGACACAGCGATTATGTACACGGGGCGGCGGCGCCACTGTCCTTTCATAAACACTAGCTTTAAGCATACACACACGTACTCCAGTATACCCATCGACCAATCAAAGACTTGTACCTTACATATGGCCTTACTTCGAAAGACTGGACTAATTGGTCGACAGTGATTAACTAGCTCATCTATGCTATTTAAATATACTAAAACTGAATGCCGTGCCCTCTAAGGAAGGCATCGATTTGTCCTGATGATGAAGATTCTCCACGAGGAGCAACGTAGTAGAATTGCCCTGGCGCCGCCTGGCTCTGAGGTGCAACGTTTAATCTCTGTGCCTGAGCCCTGGCTGCAGCACGATCCCTCTGCAATTGATTCTGCTGAAGCTGTTGCTGTTGAGCGAATAGCTGCTGCGAGTTCTGGAATTGGCTCTCAGATTGTTGTCTTTGGTAGACTTCTTGAGGGTTTTGAATGTTTTGAAGTTGGTGCCTGTATAGAGGAGCAGAGGGACCGTCAGATGAAGGTAATGGTTGAGAAGGTCTGAAAGGTCTGGGCTGGGCTTGCGGGTTGGCCACGTATGGCTGCAGCCTTTGGTTCAAGTTCAACTCTCCGTTTGTCTGAGGTAGTGACTGGAACAGCTGGTTATTGTAGGCTCCACTTGAAGGATCGTAAATAAGCTCAGTGGAGTACAGCGGGTTTCCACTTGGAGCAGGTGCAGACGGAGACTGTCCTTTAGACGGGTTGGCAATAGAAGAGCTAGTTGTAGACTGCAATTGATTTTCACGGTGAAACTTCGCAAATTCAGCAGCAAAGTCAATGGCTCCAGGTCTGAGGGTCGTGCCGATGGCGGGTGCTGGTGAAGGTGAGTAGTTCTGTACAGGAGACGGAGAATAGTTTGGAGCAGGACTGTACTGAATCTGTTGTTGGGGTTTAGCAGTGACTTGAATGAGCTGCGGCCTATATGTAGTGGCCGGGGCCAGGGTTCTGGGTGAGGTAACCTGTACTGGACGGGGAGTAATAGCAATAGGTTGTGGTTGGTAAGCTGGTCTTCTGGGTGCTGGGGTAGGACGCTGGACAACTCTTTGTCTAATCTGCTGGAGAGGTTCCTCTTCGTCTTCGTCGTCATCAGCGTCGCGGAAGTCGTTTTGGAAGAAAGTCGTAGGTGGTCTTGGGGTCGTAGGTCTGGGGGCTGGTCGTCTGGGATAGTTTGGTTCGGGATCGTCTCTTTCCGCGGAGTCTGGAGCAGCGGATTCTTGGTCGTCATCATCCTGCTTGTTGGGGTCGCAGGGGTTGCCGGACACGTATGTGAACTCACGCTTGTTACCATCAGGGTCAACGTATCCGTATTTGCCACGTACAACGCAGTCAGTTCCTCTCGTTTCTTCCTTGAAGGAACCATCAGCAGCTTCGTAGCCGAATGTAAAGCTACCATCATCATTCACCTGAAACAAATGAAACAGATTTTTAAACAAATTAGACCAAAAAAATTCAACCTGAGAATAATACATTATTTTACCAGTTTCTCAAAACTATGAGGGAGGAGTTCTACTCTATATTCTCATTTTTTTCTTTCTAATTTAAATCTAATTATACACATAACTATAGAAATTATAGCAAAAAAATATTAAAGAACACCATGTACCCTCTCAACATAACCAGGAAAACTCTTTTATTTCTTTTCGTGCTCTATCACAGACAATTCTGCTGTTTTTGGATTTGGTTATGGCAAATTTCGTCAACGGTATTCTGGACTATTTTTTCACCTTATTGTAATTCCTGATGGTCTGAACGGGTGGTTGCTTTGGTCCTTCCTGGGCTTGCTGCTGCTGCTGCTGCTGCTGTTGTTGTGGCTTGAACCTAGACGGTGCTGACTGGCGTTGCAGAGCTCTAGGTTCGTAGTCGTCGTCCAATCTGTCATCTGCTCTGTAGAGTCTGTCGTATTGGTCTGCTACTAGTATCACCTGAAAGGTTTTTAGGAAGTATGTTAATAAAGTACTTTTGATAACTTTGAGAATCTATAATAAAGGGTCAATATTTGTCTATGCATTTCACGATTTGTGGAATGACTTTTCCGTCATGATTTTGCCATGACCAATAAAACTTGTCACAGATCAGATCAGAACATGCAGACACTGCGATGATGTTCATTGTGATTTTCTGATAAAAAGTGGGGCATTGCACTCTTCTTTTATGGCATATGCTCGTTTGAGCAGACGGTTCAGCTGCTGGCAAGTGACTACCGCCGCACATAGGCACCTGAACTCAACCTGCAAGTGATAATTGGGTTGTGAGGCCGTGGTATTACACCGCGCGTGCCTGACTATTTCTGTCGAAGCGTGATTTTCCTACGTTGTAAATCCCACACTCTGACATAAAAAAAGGATTCCCTGAACAAATCAGGTGATTACGCAAGCCACATTCGATTGATCGCTGGTGTGAAATTATGATATTATAATAAATGCACGACTCAGGATCAGTTCTTACTTAGATGCCGCTGGGGGCAGCTCAAAATCACTCTTTATATTTTAACGATTTTATTTTATAACCCTGTAAGATTTTGTAATTTACTGAGGCAAATTTATTAGATTTCTTTTTTTTATTAATGAAAAAAACACATTCATTATCATCATCATCAACAGCCTATACTAGTCCACTGTTGGACATAGGCCTCTCCTTAGAAAGGAGGTTTTGGCCTACTATACCACGCTGGCCAGACGGGTTGATATAGGGTTTGAGTCAAGTTTTTCTTCTCTTTGCAGTGCTGTTATCCTGCGTAGTTTACTCCCTTAGTCCGCTCTTACTACACCCACGGGATGAATAGGAACTACCACCCCATGAGGACTACAAACTATCTTTATCATCCTAGTTGCTTACCTGGTCTCCAGCAGCGCGGTCCTGAGCTTGAGGTTCGTAGTCATACTCATCGTTGATAGCCTGTTGGTAGCGAGGTCTCTGGCGGGCGCCTGATGCAGCTCCTATGCACAACACTAAACACAGCACCTAGAAAAATGAGAAAACATTAGTTATGACTTTTTAAATTTGGACTGTATGCTGGACAGATTTTAATGAAATATGAAACAGAAATGGGTCATAGTTTGGAATAGTAATTTTACTTCCTCGACGGCTTTAAGCCTACTACGATACGGCTGAACTTCGATTTAAACCCCAAGGGGCTGCCATCAGAGCTCCACTAAGACTATTGTCAGACTGTTTAGGGCTCCAACAGTTTTTTTTCTTTTTTTTTTTAAAGACAACTCTCGCTCTAGGAATAATCCTGTGTCGCGGGGGACTTTACAAACATACATGAAACGGACACAAAGAACACCTAGACTCAGAACAACAATTTGTGAATCACACAAAGTGTCGTCCCATGTGGGGATCGGACCCACAACATTCAGCGTAGTAGTGAGCGGCGCGGCGACCGCTTAAACCACTACGCCATCTGTGCAGTCATTTTTTGTCACAGATGTCATAGATGATCGAATGGCAACCGGAACCGACGGCTTAAAGTAGTCTCCGAGGCACGAATAACAACTTTTATCCGGGAATAATTGATTGTCAAAAATGGTAGAAATCGCTACCTAACATTTCATGAAGGAAGCTTTGTTATTTGTAATATTCTATTCTATTATATGAAAGTTGTTTAAATATTTGACATGAGGTCATAAAGAAATTCAATGCTATAATGTTTATTATGGAATACTTAATAAAAATTAATCCAAATAATTTATTTAAATTTAAACATAGAAATTGACTGCATCTAATCATAATTAAATATTAAATGCAACGAATTGCGCAATAAATTTTTATAATCCTGACACATAGCAAAGCTATTTACATCTAATTACATTATAAATTCAGTCTAATGCAAAAAGGGGGGGTTTATTTATTCTAGGTGCTTTCCTTGTGATACTACAAACCTGCCAATAAACTTAAATTTAGCAGTTAGCTCTCACTTTTCCCGTATTACCCCGTATGTACGTATTATCCCGGGAAACCAGCTGTAACCTAGAAAGGAAATCCCTGATACCCCGAGGGGTTTATTTTATGACTTAAAATCACAACGACATTAAACACAAATAACTGTCTTGAAAAAACATCAGTTAAATCATTTTTTCTTCATTTTAGATACAATTCAGTTGAGCGCACATGTAACTAATTTAATTATACTTAAGCAATTTGTTTCACAGTGAGTGTCTGTAACACTGGATGTTACGAAAACTGCATTCTTGCGGTCAGATGGTCGATATTGGCGGAACTGATTGTAGGTGTATTGCTATTGTGGTTTATTGGTGCTAAAAAGTTCGAATTTAATTGTTATCGTTAACCTAGATCTTAGGACCCTTATATTTTGTAGCCGTTTACAACGGCAAACGTTTTTTTGAACACAAAAAAAAAAGGGTGTATCTGTATCTTTGCGTAAAAGAGTGTATGCCTATTTTTACTTCATTTTGTCTCCCGCTTTGCTAAGGAGGGAAGCGGATTTATTATGTTTCGAACTCCTCCAATTGTCTTCTAAGTAATTTCGTTGCGGGTTCCAAGACAGTTAAAAAAATTTTTGGGACTGCCCGAGTGTCGTAGCTAGGTAAGAACGTGGGACACGCTGTTGATTCTGTTGTACAGGAGTTACACTAATGGGCGTGTAGAAGGAATTAGTCTCGTAAAAAAAACCTAGACGAAGAATTTTTATTATAAAGCCTCTGAAAATTTTCTTTCGTTCTAGACGAATTTTAGCTGTATTTCAGGAAAGATGGAATTTTATTGGTTTATTATGCAAAGGACGGCCACTATACCACGGCCTCACAAAAAAAAGATGTTAAACAGTCCTTCCGTTGTTTTCAACCGAGTGAGTGAGGCTAGTGGAGCCCAACCTCCGATCCTGCTAATTATGGGGGAAGACCTCAAAAGCTGGCAACGCATTGTGACTTTTGAGTTCAAGGTGTCTATGGACAGCGGTAGGCACATACCATTAGGTAACCCTATACTGAACATTCAAGCATTAAAGAAATATTAAAATGATGAATCTGACGATGAGACCAAACTATCCAGACAACCATTCACATAGAGTTCAAATTGCGATATTAGCTTGCTCTAATACTCTGATATAAATAATCTAAATTTGGACTATTTTGCTCTCCCAAATCCAAAAAAACAATTCTCAGAAAACCAATCATAGACATATATACAGTATGTCATATTATAAGTGTACATTTCTATAACCGAACTTCGTTTGAATGCATCTTTAATATTGTGTCATGTAATACCGAGTCTCATAGACCAGCCCTTCCTCGGTAATGACCGTGATGAGGTTGTGAGGTCGGCTCGGAGGGCATTCACCTGCGCTTACGTAACATTTATTATAACTATTAAGATGAACTTAGTAGAGCCTTAGAGATGAGTTACTTAAGTGCTTGAGACCTCACTCGTGACCGCAGTACAATCAAATAGAATCACAGAATTTATTTAAGTTTAATTAAAGTTTTGATTTTTAGGTTTTCTCTTATGTTTTTGTTTTTTACACTGCAAGTGAATGCACAAGAGGGACTCAGTGCTGTAGGCATTTTCTTTCTGTTCCAGTCAACCTTTAGAAGTTCTTAATAGGAGACGAAGACTGAAAGATGGCTTAAGGGATTAAAAAGTTAATTTTACTTTAAAAAAGGAATTAGGGTGCCACAAAAAAAAACACAAATATGTACACGTGAGCGAAGCACACACGCATAAGAAAACTAATAAAGAAAAATTCTGCGGAGTAAGTTCGCTGTGTTATCTAAAGTAATCTACATAAACAAACTTTTTTTTACTCTCTCTCTCTCTCTCTCTCTAGTGTACTAAAAAGTAATTCATTACTATTATGATTACGGTAATGTATATGTAATTACAAAAGTTGGCCGCATTCCGCTGCGTATGCGCACGTAACGCTAGGGCGGTCATGACGCAAGGAGACCAAGACATGACTTTAATAAAACTAACATTCCAAATTTTTACATAAATGTGAAAGTTGTGAATGTGTTGTAATTTATTGTGTGTCGAGTAACAATTGTTACAAGATATGACATAATTCAAAACTAATATAACAAAAATAAAACATTCGGAACACCTCTAAAACACCTCTACCCAAAATCGATCTAAGTGGCGTGCAATGGGAGAGGCCTATGTCCAGCAGTGGACTGTGATATGCTGATGATGATGATGAACAGTAGTGTAGTCTACACTAAATTTCAAATCATTCGGAGTTGTGTAAGTTAGTGGGATCGAGATCCCTTCATCAACTCCGAAATGAGCTGATTATTTTCAGCATAAAACACACATCATAATTTGTTAGGTCTGTTCGTTTAGGAGCTACGATGCCACAGACAGACACCGAGACATACAGACACATCAAACTTGTAACACCCCTCTTTTTGCGTTGGGGTTGAAAACTAGGCAGAGCCTTGGCTATGGTAACCAAACTGCTGATAAACATTCTTTAATATTTCTAACTCTGTCCGCGTGGTGACGGATTAAGAATATCGAGTGTCACCACCCCTATTCATCCCGTGGGTGTCGTAAAAGCCGACTAAGGGAACAAACTACGCAGGACAACAGCACTGCAGAGAGAAGGAAAACTTGACACAAATCCTATTCCAACCCGTCTGGCCAGCGTGGTATAGTAGGCCAAAACCTCCTTTCTAAGGAGAGGCTGTTATTAAAGGCTGTTGATGATGATGATGAATATTTCTAAAAACATGCACATTTTAGATAAATTACATCGTACACAGAACAAATGTTCGTGATGATCACACAATATTTATTCTCGGTGGTAATCGAACCCTCTGGCTTAACACTAGCAGTCAGGGTTATTAACCACTAGAGCAACAGGCCCGTCATCATCAACACCTTTTAGCTTTACACCTCTTCTTAGAAAGGAGGTTTTGATATACTATACCACGCTGGCCAGACGGGTTGGTATAGGGTTTGTGTGAGGCGCGCTCACCTGCGCCTCATGCCGCCCTGAGTGTGGCCGCGGGTGGACGGGATGGGTTCTCCCCTCCACCCGCATTAGTTTGGCCAGCCGCGAGGGGGCGGCGTCCGCGCGTGCCGGACGCCGCCTAAAGAGAGGTCAATTTGAGACGGAGCCCGCACCAGGAGCGGGCCGGCGCTGGGAGGGGTCCAGAAGGAGATAGCTACCTGGACCCCTCCTAAACTGGAAGCGCAAAGAGGGCACACCGTTAGTCGGTTCGAGTCTGACACACCGCCCCGCCGAACGAGAGCCCCGGCGGGGTGACGGTCCGAGGGGATTTCCACACGTTAAAAAAAAAAAAAAGGGTTTTCGTCAAATTTTCTCTCTCTTCGCAGTGCTGTTTTCTTCTTAATTGCCTCTTATGACACCCACGGGATGAATAAGGGCAGTGACACTCCGTATTCTTAATCTGCCACCACATGTTTTTTTTTATGTTAGAGGGGGCAGAAAATCAGACGGGTCACCTGATGGAAAGTGACCATCGCCGCCCATGACCGTCTGCAACTCAGGAGTCACAAACGCGTTGACGGCTTTTTAGGAAGGAGTACGCTCTTTTCTTGAAGGTTTGAAGGATTATCCTGTGGCCCGTCATATACAGACATTACTACAAACCACAAGACATTAGCCCAGATACCATTCAATTATTAAGTCGTCCAACTAAGCCTAGATAATCATATAACAAATCCATATTTAGATTGCCTAATTATTTTGCATCTTGATGAATCACACAGCTTCAATTAAACTATCCATGTATAGCGTACTAAAAAGTTTCTCACAGAAACTTAACTGTCTTAACACTCTTGATTAATTAGGAATCCTAGGTAATTCATTTTAGGAGAATCATACCTTATCATTGCATTAAAATTAAAATCAAATTTTTATATCTTCGTTTAATTGTAAAAGACATAACTTACACGGAATTAGTCCATCCGTCCTGTCCGTGTAGTGACGGATTAAGAATACGGAATGTCACTATCCCAATTGATCCCGTGGGTGTCGT